CAAATATATATATATACACATTTTTTTTTTTTTGAGACAGAGTCTCACTCTGTTGCCCTGGCTAGAGTGCTGTGGAATCAGCCTAGTTCACAGCAACCTCAAACTCCTGGGCTCAAGCAATCCTTCTGCCTCAGCCTCCTGAGTAGCTAGGATTACAGGCATGCACCACTATGCCCGGCTAATTTTTTCTATATATTTTTAGTTATCCAATTAATTTCTATTTTTAGTAGAGATGGGGTATCGCTCTTGCTTAGGCTGGTTTCAAACTCCTGATCTTGAGCCATCTGCCCACCTCGGCCTCCCAGAATGCTAGGATTATAGGCATGAGCCACTGCTCCGGCCACTATTCTCTTATATTTTTTAAATTTCTTATGCAGTTATGGAGGCTGGTATATTTTTTTAATGTATGCATTTGCTTGTAGATTATTGACTATCTCTGTGAGAACACACAAAAAAAATGCCAACACTGATTGCCTCTTGAGAACTGGGTGACTGGGGGAGAGACGTGGGTGGGAAATTTTTCTCTACATACTCATACCTTTTGAATATTTTACCATGTAACAAAGTCCATCAGATAAAGACCACCAGGAACACACCTGTAGTCAAACAAAGTTAGGTTTATTAGCTTGTTGCTGCCTGGAAGATTTTACACCAGAGACACCAAGGAATAAGGAGGGACTTTTCTAGGAGTTGGGTTTCTGCTGAATGACTGAGGAGAGTCTAGGGGACATAAGGATCAGCTCTTGATTGGGTATCTCAGCAATCTTTTTAGAGGCATGAGGAACAAAGCAGAGCTGGAGTCATTGGTAAGACAGTGGCAATGACTGAAAAAGAAAAAGGTTGTAGTCATTTAGCTGATGTAGTGTGGCCTTGGGAAAAACACTGTTTTCCCTTGGCCTTGCCACTGGTCCTGTCTATGTCTATTAGGTACATCATTGACTGATTATAATTGGCACTTATCTTTACTTTCTCAGTCCTGAACTGACTTTTACTTTCTGACACCTAAATGTGTTATCTGTTCAAAAACTAAAACAGATATTAAAGTAAATAAAATGAAAATAAACCTCCACAGACTTCATGAACCAAGATTACCAGTTCCCTCACAAATAAGAAATATATTTGACAAACAGAAAGTCAAATTCGTTTTTTTTTTTCTTTTGAGCAGCCCTACTCTTTGCAAACATCAAGTGTGAAGAAATAACCATCTTTAGAAAAGACAAGGGAAAGTACCCCAACGCGCAGCAGCTGATGCCACGGAGACTAGAGTATACGGGTAGCCCCAGGTACCAACTCCCAGCCAGGGTAGAGTACTTGGCCATCTCTCTCGTGTAGTGTCAGATAAATTGTCCTCCGACCCTTTCACCAGAGGCAACCCTTAATTAGCAGTTTATGTGTATTTTTCCAGGTATAAAGAGACAGCAAACATCACCTTTCAATACACACACACGAACAAGAGCCTTTTCATCTCATATGTCTTTGGGAGTGTCTAGAAGTTTTTTAAAAGCTCTTTCAGGACTTGTTTCTCCCGGAGCCGGAGCGCCTCATTTACAGACACTACTTCAGATCCTCGCCCCTCTCAGTCTCGTTATCCTTTTCTCTTGTGAGGTCCTTGGCCTCTGTGGCTGACACAGCAACACACTTCAACACTTTCGCTTTGTGGGCGGCCCCTTTCACCCGCACCTGCAACACACTCTACGCACCGCCCTCAAACCCTCAGCGCTGGCCGTTCCGGGCAGCACTTCCGCCCCGCAAGTTGATTGGCCCAGACCTCTCCCCTCTAGTTGGAGCTCGCGGTTCGTGCGGAATCCGGCGTGTGGTGATGACGACATCTGGCCGGCGGCGGCAGCGGTGGAGGCTGGGAGACCGGGAGGGCTTCCGGGGCTGCCGGCCTGGCTGCTGAGAGCCGCTGTCATGGCTGCCGCTCTGTGGGGCTGTTTCTCCGTCCTGCTGCTGCTCCTATCAGGGGATGCCCAGAGCTCGGAGGTGCCCGGGACTGCTGCCGAGGGGTCTGGAGGGAGTGGGGTCGGCATAGGAGACCGCTTCAAGATTGAGGGGCGTGCAGTTGTCCCAGGGGTGAAGCCCCAGGACTGGATCTCCGCGGCCCGAGTGCTAGTAGACGGAGAAGAGCACGTCGGTTTCCTTAAGTGAGCAATGAGGGCAGCGGGAAATCCGTTGGGATGGAGGCCGGAGGGGGATCCCACTAGAAGAGCCAAGTGTCAGGGTGGGACAACGTCGCTGTCTCAGACTGAAGGGGCGGGTGCTGCTAACGGTCTATGCCAGGAGATCTTGGGAGGCAGTCGGACGCTTTCCCCTTTCTGGTCCCCTACCTCAGAAATGAAGATGGCAGGCGCTCATCCCAGGTCAGAGCAGTAGAATCAGTTATTTTCAACCTCATTTTGGCCCTATATGGGGACGACCACTCCTGGACCCTGGGGACAGGTAGATCCTTATTTGTCTCTTGCTGGATTCTTTCCTTTGCATCTCATTTGTTTTCCCTAGAACCTAGTCGCTTTTTTGCATTTATTTCAGTCTTTTGGTAGCTTGATGTTGTGTAGAAGGATGCTAAACAAATGGGAATTCTCAAAGCCCAAAGGGCTTCTATTGATGACATAGACTGGGAAGCTAATGTTACTGTTTCTAAAATTAATGGGCCCTGAAGTCCCTAATCAAAGCACTTTTTTTCTTTTTTGCCTAGAGGTGGGATTGTTGTTCTTTTTGACACTTGAATTCATTAAGGGATTAGCTATATCACATTTGTCATTTATGTGAGACTAGAGTTTCTTTACGTTGTTTACACGCTTTTGTCCTTTCCAGCTATTAGAAGAAATGGAATTTCTGTCTGTATTAAAAGACGGGATGTATTTGTGTTAGCACTAGTTTTGCAGCAGCCTGCTTATTAAATGTTTGGTGCATGTATGATGTTTTAAATCTTTCCACCCCTGCTTAGAAAGTGGAACTGCAAACTGAAAGAAAATATTTAGGAAATATTTCTTTGATGCTTTTATACACCAGCAAGTGGTATCTGACAATCAGACAACTCAAATGTGGACATGTAATTCTAAATCTGATTTGCAGATTTGTTCAGATCATCCAGGTGCCCTTGAATGAGAATTTCAACCTCAGATTAATAAATAATGATACATTTACAACCCGTATTTTCATGCCATCTGTCATTAAAAATATGGCATTGGGGCATTTGTTAGAGTTTACCCTAATTAGTGATGTTTTAATGATAAAGCTCTTGTAAAGCTTTGTAAAATTAGCCTTAATTGACCATTTGGCCTCTTTACTCTTCTGTAGTCCATAGTTCTTTTGAAAAGCATTTCTATTTTCTTTTTCTTTTCTTTTCTTTTTTCTTTTTTCTTTTTTTTGAGACAGAGTCTCACTCCGTTGCCCTGGCTAGAGTACTGTGGTGTCAGTGTTGCTCATAGCAACCTCAAACTCCTGGGCTCAAGCAATCCTACTGCCTCAGCCTCCTTAGTAGCTGGGACTACAGGCATGTGCCAAAATGCTCGGCTAATTTTTTCTATGTATTTTTGTTTGCCAATTCATTTCTTTCTATTTTTAGTAGAGATGGGGTATCGCTCTTGCTTAGGCTGGTTTCAAACTCCTGATCTTGAGCCATCTGCCCACCTCGGCCTCCCAGAATGCTAGGATTATAGGCATGAGCCACTGCTCCCGGCCACTATCTCTCTATATTTTTTAAATTTCTTATGCAGTTATGGAGGCTGGTATATTTTTTAATGTATGCATTTGCTTGTAGATTATTGACTATCTCTGTGAGAACACACAAAAAAAATGCCAACACTGATTGCCTCTTGAGAACTGGGTGACTGGGGGAGAGACGTGGGTGGGAAATTTTTCTCTACATACTCATACCTTTTGAATATTTTACCATGTAACAAAGTCCATCAGATAAAGACCACCAGGAACACACCTGTAGTCAAACAAAGTTAGGTTTATTAGCTTGTTGCTGCCTGGAAGATTTTACACCAGAGACACCAAGGGAATAAGGAGGGACTTTTCTAGGAGTTGGGTTTCTGCTGAATGACTGAGGAGAGTCTAGGGGACATAAGGATCAGCTCTTGATTGGGTATCTCAGCAATCTTTTTAGAGGCATGAGGAACAAAGCAGAGCTGGAGTCATTGGTAAGACAGTGGCAATGACTGAAAAAGAAAAAGGTTGTGAATCATTTAGCTGATGTAGTGTGGCCTTGGGAAAAAACACTGTTTTCCCTTGGCCTTGCCACTGGTCCTGTCTATGTCTATTAGGTACATCATTGACTGATTATAATTGGCACTTATCTTTACTTTCTCAGTCCTGAACTGACTTTTACTTTCTGACACCTAAATGTGTTATCTGTTCAAAAACTAAAACAGATATTAAAGTAAATAAAATGAAAATAAACCTCCACAGACTTCATGAACCAAGATTACCAGTTCCCTCACAAATAAGAAATATATTTGACAAACGAGAAAGTCAAATTCGTTTTTTTTTTTCTTTTGAGCAGCCCTACTCTTTGCAAACATCAAGTGTGAAGAAATAACTATCTTTAGAAAAAGACAAGGGAAAGTACCCCAACGCGGCAGCAGCTGATGCCACGGAGACTAGAGTATATGGGTAGCCCCAGGTACCAACTCCCAGCCAGGGTAGAGTACTTGGCTCTTGTATGTCTTTCTTCAATTTTTGTTGCTCTTCCCGGGAAGCTAACTCTAAGAGTACACAGGGCAAAAACATGCCTTGCCCTCAATAATCTTCACTAAGGATCTGTGGTAGAGACAGCAATGTTCAGGGCCAAAAAAACCTTGTGCAAGTCACTTGCCTTTCTAGCATCAATAAAATGAAAAGACTGGAGCAGGTGATCTTCAAAATCTTGGCTACAGCCCAATGATCCACACTGACAGTGCCCCTCCCAACCCCGCAATGTTGCTGTTGTGCTCACGATAAAGCATTCAAAATGGAACGAATTGTGTAGTGTCAGATAAATTGTCCTCCGACCCTTTCACCAGAGGCAACCCTTAATTAGCAGTTTATGTGTATTTTTCCAGGTATAAAGAGACAGCAAACATCACCTTTCAATACACACACACGAACAAGAGCCTTTTCATCTCATATGTCTTTGGGAGTGTCTAGAAGTTTTTTAAAAGCTCTTTCAGGACTTGTTTCTCCCGGAGCCGGAGCGCCTCATTTACAGACACTACTTCAGATCCTCGCCCCTCTCAGTCTCGTTATCCTTTTCTCTTGTGAGGTCCTTGGCCTCTGTGGCTGACACAGCAACACACTTCAACACTTTCGCTTTGTGGGCGGCCCCTTTCACCCGCACCTGCAACACACTCTACGCACCGCCCTCAAACCCTCAGCGCTGGCCGTTCCGGGCAGCACTTCCGCCCCGCAAGTTGATTGGCCCAGACCTCTCCCCTCTAGTTGGAGCTCGCGGTTCGTGCGGAATCCGGCGTGTGGTGATGACGACATCTGGCCGGCGGCGGCAGCGGTGGAGGCTGGGAGACCGGGAGGGCTTCCGGGGCTGCCGGCCTGGCTGCTGAGAGCCGCTGTCATGGCTGCCGCTCTGTGGGGCTGTTTCTCCGTCCTGCTGCTGCTCCTATCAGGGGATGCCCAGAGCTCGGAGGTGCCCGGGACTGCTGCCGAGGGGTCTGGAGGGAGTGGGGTCGGCATAGGAGACCGCTTCAAGATTGAGGGGCGTGCAGTTGTCCCAGGGGTGAAGCCCCAGGACTGGATCTCCGCGGCCCGAGTGCTAGTAGACGGAGAAGAGCACGTCGGTTTCCTTAAGTGAGCAATGAGGGCAGCGGGAAATCCGTTGGGATGGAGGCCGGAGGGGGATCCCACTAGAAGAGCCAAGTGTCAGGGTGGGACAACGTCGCTGTCTCAGACTGAAGGGGCGGGTGCTGCTAACGGTCTATGCCAGGAGATCTTGGGAGGCAGTCGGACGCTTTCCCCTTTCTGGTCCCCTACCTCAGAAATGAAGATGGCAGGCGCTCATCCCAGGTCAGAGCAGTAGAATCAGTTATTTTCAACCTCATTTTGGCCCTATATGGGGACGACCACTCCTGGACCCTGGGGACAGGTAGATCCTTATTTGTCTCTTGCTGGATTCTTTCCTTTGCATCTCATTTGTTTTCCCTAGAACCTAGTCGCTTTTTTGCATTTATTTCAGTCTTTTGGTAGCTTGATGTTGTGTAGAAGGATGCTAAACAAATGGGAATTCTCAAAGCCCAAAGGGCTTCTATTGATGACATAGACTGGGAAGCTAATGTTACTGTTTCTAAAATTAATGGGCCCTGAAGTCCCTAATCAAAGCACTTTTTTTCTTTTTTGCCTAGAGGTGGGATTGTTGTTCTTTTTGACACTTGAATTCATTAAGGGATTAGCTATATCACATTTGTCATTTATGTGAGACTAGAGTTTCTTTACGTTGTTTACACGCTTTTGTCCTTTCCAGCTATTAGAAGAAATGGAATTTCTGTCTGTATTAAAAGACGGGATGTATTTGTGTTAGCACTAGTTTTGCAGCAGCCTGCTTATTAAATGTTTGGTGCATGTATGATGTTTTAAATCTTTCCACCCCTGCTTAGAAAGTGGAACTGCAAACTGAAAGAAAATATTTAGGAAATATTTCTTTGATGCTTTTATACACCAGCAAGTGGTATCTGACAATCAGACAACTCAAATGTGGACATGTAATTCTAAATCTGATTTGCAGATTTGTTCAGATCATCCAGGTGCCCTTGAATGAGAATTTCAACCTCAGATTAATAAATAATGATACATTTACAACCCGTATTTTCATGCCATCTGTCATTAAAAATATGGCATTGGGGCATTTGTTAGAGTTTACCCTAATTAGTGATGTTTTAATGATAAAGCTCTTGTAAAGCTTTGTAAAATTAGCCTTAATTGACCATTTGGCCTCTTTACTCTTCTGTAGTCCATAGTTCTTTTGAAAAGCATTTCTATTTTCTTTTTCTTTTCTTTTCTTTTTTCTTTTTTCTTTTTTTTGAGACAGAGTCTCACTCCGTTGCCCTGGCTAGAGTACTGTGGTGTCAGTGTTGCTCATAGCAACCTCAAACTCCTGGGCTCAAGCAATCCTACTGCCTCAGCCTCCTTAGTAGCTGGGACTACAGGCATGTGCCACCATGCCTGGGTAATTGTTTCTATGTATTTTTAGTTGGCCAATTAATTTCTTTCTATTTTTAGTAGAGACGGGGTCTCGCTCTTGCTCAGGCTGGTTTCGGACTCCTGACCTTGAGCAATCCACCTCCCTCGCCTCCCAGAATGTTAGGATTATAGGCGTGAGCCACTGCACCTGGCCTCTGCTTTCATTTTGAAAAGAAAGTAGAATTAACCCTTAAATTTTATTGGGTTTTTTTCCTCAGCTTTTTTTGGAATCATATGACTTATGTTTTTAATAGTAAAATATATATAATATTTTGTAACCATTCTTTTTCACTTAATATTTGTGAATAGCTTTTGATAGCATTTCCTTCCATTTGTATATAAAAAGGTTGATTCAGAATTAATATGAGGAGCTTATGGTGACAATTTTGTTGGAAGTGGGGTAATTTGTATTGTATCTATTTTGAATAACTACCATGTAGACTTTTATTTATGCTTATTGGAGGTGGCTTGGGACTTGGCTAATGGAGATGAGGCAAGCTGGGGCAGAAGATGTCTCATGCCATTTCTTATCATCACTGTGCATATAAATCACAATTTAACCATTCCTCTGTTTTTGGACACTTAGGTAGTATTCCATTTTTCGACATAGTAAGTAAGACTATGCGCTATACTTTTTGAACTTTTTATTATAGAAATATTCAGACATACATAAAATACACAGAATAGCTTTGTGAATCCTTAGATACTCATTGCAACCTACTGTTTTGTTTCATGTCTTCTCTGTACTTTATTTTTTTTCTGGGATATATTTAAATGGTTCAAAGCATAATATAATTTCACTTGTAAAAGCTTTAGTATATATCTCTAAAAGATAAGAACTTAAAAATCATATTAGCATTATTCAATAAAATGAATAACAATACCTAATATAATCTAATACCCAGTCTATTTTTACGTCTACGTACTTATATAAAAATACTTGTATATAATTGGTTTTTTTGTTTGTTTGTTTGTTTGTTTGTTTGTTTGTTTGTTTGTTTTTTGAGACAGTCTCACTTTGTTGCCCTGGCTGGAGTGCTGTGGCATCAGCCTAGCTCACAGCAACCTGAAACTCCTGGGCTCAAGCAATTCTCCTGCCTCAGCCTCCGGAGTAGCTGGGACTACCTGTATATAATTTTTCCATATATTTCTAACTGTCCAAGTAATTTCTTTCTATTTTTAGTAGAGACGGGGTCTTGCTTTTGCTTAGGCTGTTCTTGAACTCCTGAGCTTAAACGATCCACCCGCCTCAGCCTCCCAGAGTGCTAGGATTACAGGCATGAGCCACCGTGCCCATCCTATAATTGTTTTTTTATATCAGGATCCAACAAGACCTATATGTTGTAGAGTTGTTTTTTGTTTTGTTTTGTTTTGTTTTTGAGACAGAGTCTTGCTCTGTTGCCCGGGTGTCAGCCACGGTGTCAGCTTAGTTCACAGCATCCTCAAACTCCTGGGCTTAAGGGATCCTGCTGCCTCAGCCTCCTGAGTAGCTGGGACTACAGGTACACACCACCAACCCTGGCTGATTTTTTTTCTATTTTTAATAGAGACAGAGTCTTGCTCAGGCTGATCTCAACCTCCTGACCTCAAGCGATCCTCCCACCTCAGCCTCCCAGAGTGCTAGGATTACAGGCATGAGCCAAGTTTTAAAATTTTTATTATAAAATGTATCTGCTTAAGTAAAACATTTACCTTAGGATGAAAAATATCATTGCTTTTTCTTTAGGTATTTAGTTCTGATATTATTTGTGTTACACAGTTATCAGTTTGTTTTTTTCTGTATCTAGAAAAATGTTTTGAAATTGGTTCAGTCAGGGACCCATCAAGAAACAGAAGATGCACTCAAATTAGAATAATTTAAGGAGAGATGGGATGTGATGGCTCATACCTGCAATCCTAGCACTTTTGAGGCTGAGGCAGGAGAATCACTTGAGGCCAGAAATTCGAGATCAGCCTGAGAAACACAGTGAGACCCTGTCTATATAAAACATTTAAGAAAAAAATAATTTAAGGAGAGTTTAATGAAAAGATTAAACAATGTAGTTGTGGTATAGGGAAACAAGCAGATTTTGTGGTACTCTGGAGCATACAATCTCAAGGCTTTTATCACGGCCTCTAAGCCTGAGAGAGGAAGGGAATAGAAGTTACTAGAACTTTGAAAGGAAGAAAAGGCTGCCTTGAGAGGAGCTGTGTCCTTTTATGCAGCCTCTTAGATGTGGCCTCTCAGAGAGCTGAGGGAAATATACTAAACTCATTTTCTACCCTTCCTCCAATCTGCAGAGAGGTGATAGGTGGAGAGTGGATCAGGAAAGCAAATGGAAGATGTCCAGTCCAGGAATAAATTAACTTGTTTACATTTCAATTCTGTTTTGGTATAATGTGTACTTTGAAGTAACAAACACATTTTCATCTTTCTAGTAAATATTGTGGATTTGATTAGTATTAATTATTCCTTTGTAAAAGAGCCTAATGATTTAAGAAGCATTCTTTTAACATGTTGTAATACTGGGAATTCTCTGATACAGTTGATCCTTTTAGAACCTTTTGTTTTCCTGAAACAAACCTTTTTCCTCGGAATAGCAGTTTCTGATTTTCCAAACAAATTAATTTTGATCTGTGAAATTAAATTATCAGTTCTTGATAAGTTGGTTTTCTAAGTGTAGAAGGTTTAGAAGAAATCAGTAAGGAAAATATGGATGGTTTTAACTACATAAACATTTAAAGATTCTACATGTCCAAAAAGAAGTAATCAAGCTAAATGGGAATTATTTATAACAAATGGAACAATTGGTACTCAAATACCTTTTATTATTTGTGAGAAAGAAAGAAGGCCAACAAAATTCAAATTAAAAGTAGAACAAAATGCCATTTTTAATAGTAAGAAAATATTTGGGGGGATTGGCAAAATTGGAACCCTAAATGAAGGTATGCCTTCAGAATAGGCACTATGTTCCTGTCACTTGTCATCTTCTACCCAGAAGTAGAAGTAATTTCTATGGCAGGGTTCTCTGCCACCGTGGAGTGGTCTTGGGTATTTTCAGAACCTTTTTGGTGTAATTATGGAAGCTGAAGTGTATGACAATTCTTGCCAGGTTTTTTGTTTTTTAATGTTATTTTGGGGGGAGTTGATTTGGGAGTTAACAGATTATTTAAAATATAAGAACAGACTAAGTAAGCTGTTGATCACAAGTAACTAAATATGATTTTCATTTTTCCAGGACAGATGGCAGTTTTGTAG